AACGACCACCATCTAGTCCTTTCACTCGGCTGAACAACCATTCGTCCAGACGATTCATTGGTCACCCAATCAAGCAACCAACTGACCACCCTTTTCAAGCGACTGAACTACTATTTGACCAAGTGACCGGCCAATCGATCAAGCGATTAACAGGTCGCTTAATTAAGCGACCAATTAACAGACCTTTATTAATTGTCGGACCTCCGTGTCTGCCATCTCATCTTTCTTCGTCCGACCTCATCTTACCCGACTTTGTATAGGTCGTCTCATCCTTCTTCGCCCGATTTCATTTTGCCCAACCTATATGCCGTCCGACCTGGATGCATATCGTTTCCTTCGTCCATCTTCTCCTTGCCCGACTTCCTACTCATAGGCTTTTTTCCGAGGAAACCCATTTCTTAACAATACTTGGGCTCATATTCAGACCCATTTTTAAGGTCCCACTGCTATTGATAGGCCCATTAGACTCTACACTAATTTTTAGTCCAATTTTATAGGCCCATTCTCGAAAACCCTACATATTGTTTTTTCTTGCTCAACAAATATCTCTTATTTTAAACAAATTTTTGCATTAATGGTTGGTATTTATTATACGAAAATTAACATATGTACATAATTAAATATTACACATTTATTATATCAGAATTTTATTTTCTTCCAATATATATGATATTTAATTTAATTTAGGTATTTAATTTTTAATGCCTACGGTAGTATTTAAATATTTTTAGTAATATAAAGCGTCGAAAGATAGAGATAATTTAAGATGAAGAATTAAGAACATCTTCTTTATTAATTTTATGATTATCTTCCATTTTTACTATAATAATATTTATTACATTTAATAAGAAATACAATTATTATATATTTATTAATTTTTTAAAAAAATATTACATTCGATAAAAATAATAAAACAATAATTAAATATAAACCAAAAATTGTTGAAATTTTTGTTAGAAATATAATAATAATAATAATAATAATAATAATAATAATAATAATAATAATAATAATAATAATAATGATGTTATATTGCAAGAATATACTTATCGAAATAATTAAAGTCGATATCACAATAATTTTTTACCGAAATAAATTCGATAATCACAATAATTTATTGAAATTAATTTCAATAATCCATTTATCGAAATAATTCGATAATCACGTCGAGTCGAGTCGAGGTAGAACCTCTTTTCGTAAAAACAAATACACCCCGGTAGTGTCTTCGGTTCGTGGCGTAACGTTCCCAAAGATAAAACAACGTTCATCTTCGAATTAGGTTGCACCCCAGTATTTCGGCCGGATAAAGAATAGAAAACTCTCCGGAAAATTGGATTGTCGCCGGATATATAGGAGAAGAGAGGAATGAAATGGGAGATATTGTTTATGTTGTGGTTGTGTCTTTTAATAAGAGAAGATGAGGCTTTATATAGGCATCCATCCGGTGGGAAAATTAATTCACAATTGAATTTCCAATTTATTTTGTGAGCTATTGGGTTTTGAAACCGATTATAACCAATTATCCATTTAAATGCAATTTGAATCGTATACACGTTAGAGTATTCAAACCCACTTAATACATACTTACGTGCATCATTATTTATCATAATAAATGCATCATGCAGCATGTGCATATGCATTCTACGCATTCATTTGCTTGAAATAATGCAAATATAAAATTGACATGCATTTTATCATGTGCGTGAGTATTTATTACAATTATACAATTGTATTTTTGGGCTTTTTTATTTTTTTCTTGGGCTTCGATTTCAATAACATATTTTGTTGTTTTGATTGGTCCTCGGAGCATAGTAGACTTTGTCAAGTCTAATACCCAAGTCTTAACCCGCGACTACATTATTTGATCCGGGTAAGCGGCGCGCCAGTGGCTTTCCGGCATTTATATGCATAAACCATATCTTATAACCATTATAAAGCCCACATGCATTTCAACTCACTGAATAATCGGTTTCGAAAATTATGAATTTAATTTATAAGTTAAATTTCATCGATTAAATAAATAATCGATTAACCGATTATTCAACAATTTTAAAGTTTGAAACTCTAAATTTAACAAAAATTATTTATAAATATATTTAAAACTCATTAACCAATTATTACGTTTCATCTATCATATTTTAAAATTATTGTTTGTTCTCTATATTTTCATATTTAATTTTTAAAATAGTAAATTATATGGTTAAGATTATTAAAATTTATATTGGTCAATATTTAAAAGTTAAAATACAATACTATCTTTGTCTGGATCTTAGGGTCACAATTATTTTTTGTGTGTTGATATTTGAATATTAATTATTATATTAAGATATAGTACAAATCTAAGGAAAAAAAAAAGACAAAAATACTTCTATTAATGTCTTATAATACTAATATAATAATTTTGTATAAAAAATTATACAAATATAATATTTTTAATAATAAATACAATCATGTAAAATGTAAATGTATCCCTTAGAGGCAAACGGATGTTATTATATAAAAAATATTATTAGACAATAAAAATATGCATAAAAAATAAATAAATTATTTAATATTATTTATATTATTACATAATAAAAATATATATAAATAAATAAATTATTGTGGATGGATCCTATAAAATAATAAAAGTAATGAATTGAAGGCGATTTAAGGGCTGATAAACAAAGTAATTTAATATTGAGATGAATATGATGTAAATAAAATAGATAAAATAAAAAAGGTAAAATTGCTTATAATTCCCGTATGACTTCGAAATTCAGTATAAAATCTCTCTATACTTTAAAAAAACGTTGCATGAAACCCCACCGCCATGAAACTTTCATTGTGTGATGAGAAAATAATTTCCTATTTATGCAACATTTTCTAAAATATAAGGGCATCATACAATTTTAAAATAAAAGTGGGGATTTACGCTGAGTTTTAAAATCACAAAGGGATTTCATGCAACGTTTTTGAAAGTATATGGGGGCGCGTCGCAATTTTTAAAGTAAAATGAGAATTTACGCTATGTTTCGAAATGATAAGGGTTATGAACAATTTTGCAAAATAATAATAATAATAATAATAATAATAATAATAATAATAATAATAATAATAATAAATTAATTAATTAGAGGTAACGACTATCACAAATGCTTTGATGAAAAATTATATGAAAATTGTCTTGAAGAGATTTACGTGGAAAAGTCCCTTAGGTTGTGTTCTTTTATGGGTTTAAGATCATCGTCAATCAATTACTTCATTTTTGTAGTAGTTACGATAAAAATGCAGTTGATCTACAGTAATTTTACTTCAACCATATAAACTTCAATTTTCATTCTAAAAAGTATATTATCTATATATTCTTCTTTTATATTATTTTATACTAACTTTTTATATTTATAAATTACACCCCAATTTTAATTTATTTTTACAATATAACCAAAATATATATAATTACACATTATATATCACTTTAAAAAAATAAAATTATACACTAATTTTAAAAAAATAAAATTATATTACTTTTCAAAAAATAAAATTATACTTATTTAAAAAAAATAAAATAACATATAATTTTTAAAAAAAATAAAATTACACAATATACCACAAGAAATAACAAAAATACACAAACCCCACTCCAAAAATGGAGTGGAGTGTAGTGTTACTCCAAAACATTTTGGAGTAACACTATACCGCGCCCCAAAAATGGGGGAGGGGTAATTTAGGGTGGGTTGGACCCCTCCCCAAAAAAATTTATTTTATACTCAAAGTATTACATCAATATCCATTTCTATCATATCAAACAATTATTGAAATTCTAACTTTTTTATTATTCATAAATCCAAATCCAAACCTACAAACAGACACACCCTTAGATACTCCATTTGTCCCGGCACATGTCCCGCCACGCGATCACAAATGACTCATTTTCTTATAGTTCGTCTTACATAAAAAAATTTTCTATTTACGATAAATTTAACAATTTGAATATATATAATAAATATAAATTAATTTAATTAAATTCATATCATTCAAAACTTTTTTTTATTTATATCTCCTCTTAATAAATAAAGATTTTTATTATTTATATTATATTAATTTTTTTTTTTTATAAAATAATATTTTTATTATATATTTTTTATTTATATATATTATTTAAAATATTTAAATACGTGTTTTAATTTTTTTTTAATTATACACATCATGATCCAGTCAAAATCTTTTGAATTTTCTATTTTAACATGTACATTCAAATTTTTTCATTCCATTTTCTTAAGTATAATACATTTTATATAAATACAAAAATACCCATATTTATTATTATATAATTATTTTTACATAAAAAAATAAGAATAAAATTATTTTTACATGACTTCAATAAAATATTAATATACTTATTTTCTAGTACCAAAAATAAATAAAAAAATAGTGAGTAATAATTAATATTAAAACAATGCTTTCTTCCTCCTTAATCAAATGAGTCTCATAAATTTTGTTCTTTTTTTATTTTATGCATAATAATTGTGATATATTTGTAGTATATTTAAAATTTAAATAAAAATTAAATTGATATTAATATATAATTATTTTTTTATTTAACTTTAAAATAAAACAAATAAAATATTTTAGCTCTTATAATTAATTTATTAAGGGTGTGTTTGTTTGGGAGTTTGGATTTGAATAGTAAAAATTTTGAATTTGAATAGTTGTATGATGTGATATAAATAAGGTTTGATTTGATGTTTTGAATGTAAAATTTGATTTTTAGTATAATATAAAAAATAAAAAATAGGTGTTTGATTTAATGATTTTGGGGAAAAAAAATTGAATGAACAATAAAAATCCACCAAAATCCTTCAAACAAACGCAGCCAAAATTACATGAGATCTCCTTAACCAAGAGAATCTGAACTAGGGGTAGGGAGTATAATAGTATTAAATAAATAATAATAATTAAATAATAAAAGCATTTTAAAATCCCCAAACAAAATTTTAATCTGCCAAACCCGACGGCCCACGCGACGCCGCTGGAAGCTTCACCGTCTATCTTCTTCTCTTCCTCCCGTCTCCATCAAATAACTTCCTATTTGCCGCCAGTTCTCTATCTTCTCTACTCCACGCCCTAGTTTTCCCACGCTTGAATTGCTCCCCATTCCCACTCTAGCAATGGCTATAGAAACTGCAGACGCCACCGCTACAACGGCCTCAGAATTCGCTTTAGCCGACACCGATATCAACTGGGACAGGTATTTCTTAATCCACTGCAGCTGCAACTGCTACCCTTGTTTCCCCCTGTTAAAATAGCATTTTGCTCTAGTCGAGTGGGTGATCACGGTATTTTGACTATATGGGGACTGGGAGCTAGGTCTTTAAAATGCTCTCTTTGGTTACCTTTTAACGTCACGTATAATGTTCCGAAGCGTCACTTGCGACAGCAAATCGTTCGCTATGGTGTATAGTTCAATGTGGAACAAAGAGTTGTTTTTATATGGATTTTTTATTTGGATGAAGATAATGACAAAACCATAAACTAAAACTGAAGTAAATGGTGCATGTTCACCAGTCACCACAAATTAGTCTTAAAACATCACCAATATACATACACAGACACGTGTGTGCCTGTGCTGCATCAATGTGGAAATCTGGTACACACGCCATTAAAGGCTCTATTTTGTTGCAATAAGGCACTGCTTTGTCGCGTTATGAAGTGTCAAATTCTTCTCCTAGCTGTGAAGCAAATGATTTATTCGCAAGGTGCAATATTTACTGGAAATGAAAAGAGTTATCTAATTCTAGGGCTTGTTTTTTACTGTATTAAGTTATAATTGTTTATGCTATAAATGGTGGCCGAAGTGAACAAAAAGCACAAGGTTGCAAAAATGGTTCACTCTGGCATTGCTTGCCATAAGATTGATTTTGTTGTTTTGTCAATAAGATAATATTTTACATTGTCTCAAGTGATTGCTTAGGGATAATTACATTCATGATTGGGGGGCTTAGGGATCTTTTTCACTCTAAACTGTTGTTTTAGTACTTACGGTGGTCTGTGTGAGATATTAAAGTTAAAACTTCATTTATAGCTGTCTAGTCTAAGTTAGCACATTTCATGCTAATTCCTATTAGATGGGTTCTTAGGTTTAGTAAGAAATGGAGGCATTAACCATTTTTAAGATATATCAATGGGCTGGTTGATTTCCTTGTGCCACAAAATGTAGGTTGGATAAGACGAGATTTCACATTATTGGAGCCATTCTATTTACTGTGCAGTCAGCTTTGATACACCCTACAGCTGTTGTGAAGACAAGAATGCAAGTGGCTGATTCTGGCTTCTCTCAGATGTCTGGATTGTCTGTTTTTAGACACATTATAAGGAGTGATGGCATTCCAGGCATTTTTAGAGGCTTCGCAACATCAGCCATTGGATCCTTGCCTGGTCGAGTCCTTGCTTTAACTTCCCTTGAAATGTCAAAGGATATGATGCTGAAGTACACGGAGGACCTGAATATGCCAGAAGCAACACGAATTGGTTTTGCAAATGCAATTGCTGGACTGTCTTCCAATTTAGCTTCTTGCATATACTTTGTTCCTTTGGATGTGGTGAGTATTCTATTCTATCACCCTATCTGGAGATTGTTCTTGTACATTTGTTTAGCTTTAGATGGTATTCAACTCAAACAAGCAGCAGGAATGATTACCAGAGGAGATAACTTCTTATATCCAGTTGTCTATAGTATAGTTCTAGAAGTAAATATTTCATCAAGAGTTCTTAATCTTTAATAAGTCATTTATGTGGTGAATAGGTGCTAACTAGATTGAAGAGGAAATTATTATTATTTAAAAAAAAAAAACTGTTCTGACATTTGTATCTGGTGGATGTGCCATCCCCTGGATTCAGCTTTTCATATTATTTACTTCTTTTCCAGATCTGCCAGCGGCTAATGGTTCAAGGGCTTCCTGGGAGCGCGCCTTGCAATGGTCCATTCGATGTTATGCAGAAAGTTATAAAAATAGAAGGGCTTCGTGGCATGTACAGGGGCTTTGGATTAACAGCTGTAACTCAGTCTCCTGCATCTGCACTTTGGTGGGGAATCTATGGTGCTGCCCAACATAGCATCTGGAGGTAAACCTGTTGACACAGCAGTTTAAGAGTTGTAGTAGGCTTTTGATACCATCAACTTTCATACATGATCTTACTTGATGTGATCAATTCTTCATATGACATCTTAATTAGGGGTTTGGGCTATAGAGATGATTTAGAAAAGAAGCCATCTCATGCAGAAATGGCTGTTGTCCAAGCTGCAGCAGGAACAATAGCTGGTGCTTGTAGTTCAGTGATTACTACTCCTATTGATACTGTCAAGACACGACTTCAGGTGATGCCAATTATGAGTAGCAATAGATGAAATTATCTTAAATCACACCCATAAGGAAATGAAATTTCTGATTGATGCTTGCATTTTATCCGGTATGATATATAGGTTATTGATGATTATGGTGTAGGAAGACCATCTGTGATGAAAACTGTGAAGGCTCTTCTTAAAGAGGATGGATGGAAAGGCTTCTACCGAGGATTTGGCCCTCGGTTTTTAAACATGTCGTTCTATGGCACTACAATGATAGTAACTTATGAACTGATAAGTAAGATCAATTTTCATCTTTTAGAATTGAAGAAGTTGTGCATTATTGAGTTTTTGGGCAAGCAATCTTTCTCAAACAGAAGTCTTCTGAATGTGATCTAACAGCATTGAGCTATTGCTAATTACTTGTGTGCTATTAATCATGTATTTTATTTTATTTTTTTCAGAGAGATTGTCGTTGAAGCAAGTGCGCGAGTAGTACACTCCTGTGGTGCATCACTCTGCAATATTCCGGAACAGTGCAACTTTGTTTTGTTGGCAAATTTTCTAAGCTATCGGCAAAGAGCCCAAAATGAGTTACGGGCAACCTCGCAGTTTCTAGTTCATTTATTCATTTGTAACCTTGTTCTAAGAAATGGTTAGAAAAATTAGCTTAAGAAAGTTTTTGAATACTAAACTGGGATTATGTTAATTGTCAAATGTATGCATTCATAATAGCTTCTGTGAGGCTCTGTAGTTTTACCATCGACGCAATATAGTTTATTATTTTTGGCTCAAATGATAGCACATTCTTTTTGTATATAGAAAGCCTTAATTTGTGCATCTATATTGGGCACATGTATCATGAATGTAGCACAAATTTCCATTCTGTTTGTTATGCTAATTTCTTTTAGTATGTTGCACGTACCTCGAACAGTAACTGGCTATTTTTGTATAGCATCCGTTAGAGTCACTTTTTTTTTTATTATATTTATTATTGTTTTTTTCAGTTTTTACTATAATAAAATTTATTATATTTCATAAGAAATACAATTATTAAAATTTATTATTTTTCTCAATAATTGATTATTTTTTTAAAAAAAAACTAAATACTATAAAAAAAATTTGAAATAAAAAAATTTAAATCATAAATTTAACCTAAGTTACGTATAAATATATTTAAAATTTATTAACCAATTTTTATGCTTTATTTATCCTATTTTAAAATTATTTGTTAGTCCCTATTTTTTATACAACTAGTAAATATAACGATCCTTTCAATTCTTAAATCTGTTAAATTCATAGACAATGAATCAAATCAAGCTTCTTTTGATAATCTAAAATTTTAAAATAAAGATAAATAAATTATTATAAATTTATAAAATAGTAAAAGTATTAAATTGAAAATGATTTATTCTATTTTATAATTTGACTACTAAGATGAATATAATGTGAATTAACAGATATAAAACATAAATAATAGAACAGATGTAATGGCTATAAAATATGTTATTATATCAATGTGAGATCATGTCCAATTGTCCACCTACTATATAGGCGGTGGTATGATGAAGGGTGGAAGCCTCTTGTCTGATTTGCTATAATTATTATTGTTCTCATTTTTGGCGAGTAGGGACTAGGGACCAACCTCAACATACGCTTCAAGTTTCAACAACACTTTTTACCTCCGCCTTTAGAAATTGTAGGTGGAAAGGGATCTCTGTTCTCTTCCAATCCCATATAATAGATCCACCCGCAAGTAAGAAAAGCTACTTCTTTCTCTTTCTGTTTCTGACCTTTGCCCCTCATCACATTTGTGCTTTCTTTTGCTTCTCATATTTCTTACTCGACCGGGTCCCAATTCCTTTCCGTCTCTTCTTGCTATCTGAGCTGAGCTTGAACTCTGCTTCTTACTTTTGAAGTTTGTTCTGGAAGTGAAGTTGAGTAGGGTTCCGATAATTTTTAACTGACGGTAACTTCTGCTGCCAAAAGTAGTGGAATCAGCAGCTGTCGGAAGTGCGGCGGGCATTATACGATTATTTATATTATATTATGCGAAGCACAATTCCTCGATGAGGAAGTGGACTGGGGGGTTGCTGATTATTGGCCTGGGTTCGGTTTTGCTTGTCAGTTACAGTTTCATTCAGAAATCTGAACCTCCCAAGAAACACTCTCAGTCTGCAGCATACGATTTCTTTAATCCGCATCCAGTGAAAGAAGAAAATTCAGACGCCAATGCCAATGCTAGCGATGGTTTTCCACAAGCTAAAGCTAAAGGTGAAGACGAAAAACAGCAGCAGATTACCATATCGAAACCCCAGTTTAGAGATGTTGAAGGGCTGAATGATTTGTACAGCTTGAGTGTAAATCTGACCCGGGAAGACACTGCTAATTCAATGCTTGCATGGCGTCTGATGAGATTTTTGTTTCCAAGATCGGATGCATTGCCTGAAACTGCTCAAGGGATTAAAGAGGCTGCAGCAATGGTGAAAGATTTGCTTTCCATGATTAAGGATTATAATGCTTTGAAAGCTGCAGATGCTGTTCCGGACAAACTTTGCCCACATTTTGTTAGCACTTCTAATGCTACCCTGTTGAGGAACGAGAGTTTTCTTGAGATCCCCTGTGGTCTAGTTGAGGGTTCTTCTGTCACACTAATAGGAATCCCCAACTCGCGACAAGACAGCTTCCAAATTGAATTGGTTGGTTCACAAATCAACGAGGCAATGCCTCCAATTGTGTTGCAGGTTAAGGTTCTTTTGCCTGGCCAGGACTTGACAAAAGAGCCCATTACTATCCAGAATACATGGACTCAAGAATCCGGGTGGGGGAAGGAGGAGAGCTGCCCTCATCATGGTGCACCTGATCTTCTCAGAGGTACATCTTGCTAGAGAGCTTAATCTTGAAACTATTTATGTAACTTTATAATTGACCAATCTTGGCAATGGACATACATCTTTGCAGTTGATGGACTGGAGAAGTGTAACTCTCAGATTGTTCAAGTAAATGCAAGGGATGGTCTGAATGTGACACACTCTGCAAACAGAAAATTAAATAATGTTTCTGAAGGGCATACAAGTGCCCATGCAAGTGCTACTTTCCACTTTGTTGATGGTAACCCCTTCACTGCCACACTGTGGGCTGGTGATGAGGGGTTTCACATGACAGTGAATGGAAGGCATGAAACATCATTTTCATTTAGAGAGGTGAGCTATTTGTGCCATATTTGGGGTTTGTGCCATATTGATCAGCTCGTCTAATTATAAGGCTTATACGACAATTACAGAGACTTGAACCATGGCTTGTTAATAGAGTCTATGCAAAGGGTGGCTTGACTGTTTTATCTATACTAGCAAAAGGACTACCTGTTAGTGAAGACGTGGATTTAATTGCTGATGCTCGAGAGCTCAAAGCTACACCTGTTTATAATAAAAGTCTAGAACTGCTGATTGGAGTTTTCTCCTCAGGGAACAATTTTGAGAGGCGGATGGCGCTGAGGAGAACTTGGATGCAATATGATGCTGTGCGCTCTGGAAATGTGGTGGTTCGGTTTTTCATTGGGCTTGTACGTGAGTCACTGCAGAAACTGCTTGAAAGTTGTTTAATTATGCCAACACAAGTCTTTATGAACCTCATCTTATACTGCCTTCTGATGATATTCTGTCTATTCTCTTAATTGTGCACATCTAGCCATGTCTGTGTTTTTATTTTATTCCCTGAAAATTCTAGTTCGATAATGAGATATCACTACCAGAAATCAACTTAATGGTGCATTTTGATGAATGACAAATAGTGACTAATTCTGCTACTGCCCATCTAACTTTTTTTTTTTTTTCAATTAAACGTTGCAGCACAAGAATAAAGATGTAAATTTGAAGCTATGGAAAGAAGCTCAAGCATTTGGAGATATCCAGTTGATGCCTTTTGTTGATTACTATGGCCTGCTCACTTACAAAACCATTGGTATTTGCATTCTTGGGGTATGCATTAGCTTTTCTTAATGCTATTAGAGTCTGTGTTGTCGCTTGCTGTGTTTCTACTTTATTTTAGATCCTTTTTAAATATGCTAAATTTATAGTTCTTTATGATTTTGCTTGTTATAGTAAAAGTTTCATCCAAAGTGAAAGAATAGAAGTCTCCATAAAGACAGATTAGTTTGGCATTGTAGTAAAAAATAGTGTAAGATGATGGGATACTGTTATGAAGCCTTTTGGGTTTTGTTTTTTTCACCGTTTCTTGATTCAATGGATAAGCATGAGTTGCATTTGTTCATGGTTGCAACATGTATTTGAAACAGACTAAAGTTCTATCCGCTCGATTCATCATGAAAATGGATGATGATGCATTTTTAAGGATTGATGAACTTTTATCAAGTCTCGAGGGAAAGGCCCCCGATGGACGCCTGTACGGTCAAATATCCTTTGAGTCAGCTCCTCGCAGGGAGATGGACAATAAGTGGTTTGTAAGTGAAGAGGTAAGCATCATCATCCCTTATTACAGTGCAGTGGAGTGGACAATCCCTGATTGGGACTACATACATACATGTTGAATTGTTGATTGTCATGTCTAATATATACATTGGATCTTTCTCTCTCTCTTTCTTTCTCTTGGACAGGAGTGGCCACGGTCCTCATATCCTCCTTGGGCTCATGGACCAGGATATGTGATTTCCCAGGACATTGCAAGATTTATTGTTAAAGGTCACCAAGAAATGAACCTCATGGTAAAACTAATAGTTGAATGGATCATGATTTGAAGTTCATATATGAGTTAATTAAACTTGTCTTTTTTGTGGGAATTCCTGCAGCTTTTCAAGCTGGAAGATGTTGCTGTGGGGATATGGATGGAGCAATTTGGGAAGAATGGGAAGAGGAGATGCGAGTATGTCAACGATGATCGATTCTACATTGCCGGGTGTGAATCAGACTACATTCTAGTTCACTACCAGAATCCTAGGATGATGTTGTGCCTGTGGGAGAAGCTCCTCCATGTCCATGAAGAGGAGGGGAAGAAAGCTGCAGAATGCTGTGAGTGAAGTGGATATAATACCCTAAACCCCTTATTGCAACCTTTTCATTCACTTGTTTACTATTTATCCATTCGATTATATATGTTAAAGTTTAGGTGATTTCGTTAGGGTGTGCAAAATTTTAGATTTTTTATCACCGACTGAATTCGAATTAAATTTGAAATTTTGAATTCGGTAATTTAGTAATTTCGGACAATATTAGTATATGCTAAATTCAATATTTTTAAAATTAATTGAAATAATTATTTTATTTAATATTATATATACATATATTTTATTTTTCAAAAGAATTACTTTATATAACACAATTCTTGAAACATAAAAAAAATTATAATTTTAAATTATCATAAATTTGATCAATTCGAAAAAAAATAAAATTGGAAATATGAATTTAAAATTGAATTTGGTCGAATTTTTTTTTTAACAAATTTCCGAAAAAATCGAATTGAAGTATCCAAATTACCAATTTAGTTTTCCATGCACACCCTAGATTTGGTGTAGGATATGGATGGATGGATGGATCACTAATCCCACCGACATACTACAACAACTAAAATTGGTAACATCTGACGTCATCCTCTCGTCATGGCAAGCAAACCAATCCCATGACCTAATAATGACGTTGATTCATTCATACCGATACAAATACAAATACATACATATGGTGTTATAATTAATTTAATTTTTAAAATTTAATTTAATTAATTATTGGGGGCGTTGGGCTGCCGCGTGGAGCAAACCGCCGCCGACCTAATAAGAAGAAAGGAAAGAACTCTGGAAGGCAGTTTCCTTATAACAGAACAGAACACCACCATTACTTACCAATTTCTATTCGATTCGAGTCCAGTAACTTCTTTCCAACGACGTTTTCTCTCTATTCTTTTTCCTTCATAGTTTTCCCTTTTTAACAGTCAAGAAAAAAACGCGCACGCCTCCTTCCTTCCTTCAACAACGAACGAATCTCCTCTCCGATCACACGCAATTGCACATACTTCTTCTCCTCCTCTGCAACTTTTTTGTTACTCGCCCTACCCGGAACTTCCCAGTAACCGTGAAAATATGGTGGCCGAAGCGCAACTTGTTTGCCAACCTGCCGTCGCTCTTCAGTACCTTTGTGCCCCCGCCATCGAGATTCAGCCTCCTGATTTTCTTGACGAATCACGTCCCCCAACTGGTGATGTCCCTCTCTCCATCGATCCTCAGCGCCGTGAATCGGTACGCTTCCTTATCTTGACCTAATTTTCTTGAATGAATTTTCATTAAATCTGATGCCGCTTACTCTAGGGTTTCTTTTTTTTTTTCTCTCATGATTTTGAGGGTTTGACTTTGGGAATTTACCTTTTCGCCTTCTATTATTTGTGCCCTGTGAAGACGAGATTCAATTCCTAGTTGTGTTTCAATCGTGGATAATGAGTTTTTAACTGTCGTTTTTGGTTGATGCGTGCCTGTATGCTTATAGTGATGTTTTCTTCTCCTTGAATTTTACCGTCTTGGTGCCGGCCTAAGGTTTCCCGTGATGCCTCCGTTACTGTGTGATCGACATATTCGTCTTAAAATTGTTTACGCTGCCTTTTTTTCTTAGTAATTTCTTGAATTAACTAAATTTTAGTTAATCGTTGTCCAACAGTTTTTCTGTGCGACGAACTAACTAATTAGCTTATAATGAGAATCGCGAAATCAGGTCTTAAGATTCAGGCAGCAGAATGGTCATCCAATTTCTGAACAAGGGTTTGAATCTTTACCATCCTGATTACTGAATCAACCTTGTGTTTATACCTTTTTCCGAGTATTTTTGGGGAATCTTTAGTTTTACTTCTGATATTTCTTCTATGGCTGCTCAACTGTTTTGTTTAATGGCAACTCACAATTTAGTTTAGTTGGGAATCTTAAAAGGTGTTTCTTAAGACTGTAGCAGCAGAATCTTCATCCAATTTTGTGAACAAGAGTTTGAGATTTATATTATCATGATACTGATTCCTGGTGTTACCAACAACTGGATGAGGCTTTACTGTATTCAAGTAGCGCATGTAGTACGTAGATGAAACTGTGCTTGATGTTTGGATTTTCCATGACTAGTCAGAAGCCCCCTTGTCTGATTGAATGCGCATTAGCATTATATCGAATGCAAACTTATCATATCACATGACATGTATAAAATCCACTTAAAAATAGTTTGTGTATCTCACCTATCTTTTGGTTTACCAATGTGGTTTTTTCAAAACTTATGGTCTAATGGAATCTTTTTACCTGTTGCCAGGCTCTGAGTTGCTCAACGAGCATACATACTACTGCAATATCTAAAGCTACCAGAAAGTTTACTCCAAAAATTCGTTCCGGCAGCCATACTGATCTTGGTCCTCGCAGTTCCAATGAGGACCAACATGTTCGGATCGATGATCTGAGCAGCCACTTGGGGTCACTGTACAGTTGGCATGAACCAGGCTCTTTTTATGCAGTGTTTGATGGTCATGGTGGTCCTAATGCTGCAGTTTTCATGAAGAATAATGCCACACAATTTTTCTTTGAAAATGCTGAATTACCCGGAGCATCTGATATTGATGAAAAATTCTTGCAAGATATGGAGAAGTCCCATCTCAAATCATTTTTGTTGGCTGATCAAGCCATGGCTGATGAACAAGGTGGTGTTGATCCGTATTGTGGAACTACAGCGCTCACTGCCCTGATCCTCGGAAGGAATCTGCTCATTGCAAATGCTGGAGACTGTAGGGCTGTCCTCTGTAGGAATGGAGATGCAGTTCAACTGTCCCAAGATCACAGGCCATCGAGCCAGATGGAAAGAAAGCGGGTTGAGAACTTGGGAGGTACTATTGAGTATGGGTATTTAAACGGGGAGCTTGCTGTTACTCGATCTCTGGGAGACTGGTATATGAAACTTCCTCTTGGATCTGTATCACCTCTGACTGCGGAGCCAGAGTTTCGGTGGACTTTGCTGAGTGAGGATGATGAATTCCTGATAATTGGATGTGATGGGATTTGGGATGTTATATCAAACCAGGAAGCAGTGAGCCTGGTGCGTCGGGTGCTCAGACATCACAATGACCCGCAGGTTTGTGCAAAAGAACTTGTGGAACAGGCACTTAGGCAAGATACTTGTGACAATGTAACTGCTGTTGTGGTCTGTTTCTCGTCGTCGCCACCTGAGATTCGAGATTCTTCGGTGGGGGATCATCCAACAGGGCAAAGACCAAGGATGAGGTTCTGTATGTCTGAGGAGGCACGGAACAAGTTGAGGAGCTTATTAGAAGGCGGTAAGTGAGGTTCTGGACGTCCTGACCTGGTTGAAGGATTGATCACACGACAGTACTATGACGGGGTTTTGGTTGTACAGATTATTATATATTATATATATATATGGTGATTCTTGTTGGTGCTGGTGGGCGTTGGCGAGTTTGCGGGAAATGAAGCTGCAACCTTGCTGTGGGTTTGTGGCGGGCGTCGGAATGAGTCATGGATGCATAAGATGAAGATGAAGATGCAAGTTATGGATGTATGTATTAGGAGGTAATGATTATGGATTGATTGATGTTATTATTGGGGGATGGATTGATAAATTGAATGAGGAGCGAAGGAACAAACATAGGCCTGCCTGGCAGGTTAGTTGTTGCTGTGCCTGCGGACTGACCGACTGAGGAGGACACGACACAGCACAGCACACCACACCACACTAGTCTACCTCTCTGGTATTCGTTAGTTAGTTAATTGGTTAGTTTAGTTGTGTCTTGTTGAGTCTGACAATATAATACTTGCTGCACAATCTTTTTGTTTTTGTTCCTTTTTTTTCGTATTTGTATTTGTAATTTTGTGTGTCTGCATGTGTAGTGTAGCGTATGGTGTGGTATGAAGGATGGGTGATAGCTCGCCTCAAGTCTTTCATCCCATCCCATCCCATCCCATCCCCAATTTGAAATCAGAAATAATACTAATCATCGTAATCAGAAAAAAAAAAAAAAAAAATTAATTTATTGGCGTGTTCGTGGCATGGGATTGGCAGATGGATAGAATTTTACTGGTAGAGACTAGATAGAGAGAGAGAGGGTGGCGGGGATGGGGTTCATGCTCATGATAATGATAATGATAATGATAATGCTAGTGGTCATGCTCAACCACTCGCTCCCTCGTCAACCCTCCATCCTTTTTTTAGTTTTTATTTTTATTATTTTTATTCAAAAGTAAGCATTGGTTAAACTCCGATTCATCTAATACTTTGCAAACTAAGCCCGTCAGGCAAATGGGATCTCATAAGGATGACAACAAGGGATTAGCAATCATGTCCATCCTTTAACCCAACCTTACATGTAGTGCTGGCTGCTGACTCACTAAGAGCAACACAGCACCATTCTATTTGCAATGCAAAGCCGCCTTGATGTAGTCATAAATACAAAATGGCGTGGCTAATGATTTACCTAGGAGTAACAAAGACGCACACAGTTGGCTTATACCACTTCTCTTCTGATTCCTAATTTTTTATATATATATATATAATTATTCATTTTTTTATTTTTATTTTTTTATAACATAGGAACAAACAAAATTTATTCATTTTTTTTTTTTCTGAAATCATCTTACATCTATTTCTATTCATTAATAAAATACCACTAAAAACAAATGTATACTTTTTTTATTAAGATGGATTGAGAATAATCTTTTTCTGATATATATATTGTTATATTTTACATAATTTTAAAATTATATATAATTAATAATAAAATTAGAATAGTAAATTTAAATAATAACAAGCTAATATATCTAATTAAATTATAAATTATATAGTCAAAATATCTTAAATATCTCACCCTCCATCTGCATTCTGATCCTTATTTTTGGGACGACATTGTCTCTCTGATCTATATCTTTATTAGAGAAAATAGCATGGTAATAAGAATGTGAATGATTAAGGTCACAGATGAAGATGAGATGAGATGAGATGATATGATGAGATAGATTATACTAACAGAGATGGACGGACGGACGGCTGTGATTACTCCTCCCTCTCCTCTCTCTCTATTCTTCCTTCCTTTTATTTATCAATAGAATTGTTCCATCGTTCAACCCTCTTTTTCTCTCTCTCTCTCTCTGCACCATCGCACCTAAAATCGAAATCCAACTCAAAGACCAAAATGGCGATGGCGAATCTCGCACGGCGGCGTTCCGCCGCCCTCCTTTCCTCCTCCTCCTCCACCTCTCTATGCAACGCTTCCAACTACTCACGGATCCTTTCCACTCGCATCACCAGAGGATTCTCCTCTGCATCTGAGGACAACGATGTGGTCGTTATAGGCGGCGGCCCTGGTGGTTACGTCGCTGCTATCAAGGCCGCGCAACTCGGCCTCAAGACCACCTGCATCGAGAAGCGTGGAGCACTTGGCGGAACCTGCCTCAACGTCGGCTGCATCCCGTCTAAGGTATCATTCATTTTTCGTGCCCGTATTTCATTCTAGATCTTCTCAATTGTATTTGCTCAACGCTCGTTTCTTCCCTTTTTGAAGCCTTTTGCCTTCTCAATTCACCCGTCAAATTTCTCACAAGGAAATTTTGCGATGTGTAAAAACCTTTGATTGTGATTTGCGGCTTGTTAGATTCCTCCGCTACTGTGTCGCTCTGATATGAGCGATTAAATTTGATCTGACCTGTTCTGAAATTCAATCGAAAATTTTCTGTACTACTAAATATTTTCTTCTACAATTTAGGAATTTATGTTCTCTTCTAAATTTCCACGACACTCGATTCCATGTGAAATCCACTGCTCGTATCAATGGCTGCATCACTTAATTACTCTCAATTGTTTCTCTCAGCATATTTTGACTGATGATTAAGCTAATTACTAGGTTTGGGAGTGTATAGATAAAACTTATGAGCATTAGGTAACAATGGAACTATTTTTGAAGAGAACAGCCTATTTGGCGCTGATTGTGTTCATCATATCGTAATTCTGAGCGTGGCATGCATTTCTTTCACACTGTAGAATATTGCTGGTTAAGTGGAAATGATGGCCTATATCAATTTTTAGTTACTGTGTATTTTTTGTAAACCTAGTTTATTTGAACCATTGGCGTTTGCTTTTCTAAAAACGGTTGGTTTGAAAATTCTCTTAATTTAGTCTCCCTGTAGGGATATGTTTGCCGTTTACTCGGTTAAGACGAGGAATGTGGTTGGTAAGAGGAAGGAACTAGGACGCTTTTCCCAAGCCCTTTTTGTAACTCTCAAATCATTAGCTTTGAAGAATTTATCTTTGATTTGATTCTCTGTCTAGTTTTAGCTTTCTTATCCTTAATATCAATAGTATAATTGCCTTTGAAATGTGGAGAGAACCTTACACAGTTGCACAATCAGCTCTTCCTAGTAGTCTGTAATAATTATTGCCTCAAAAAGTATTATTTGTATATGTGACTTAAAGCCTGTAGTTTTACTTGTTTAGTTCATTGTGCAATTGAAGTTCTTGTGGTAATATTCCCTCCCTGGAATGAAATTCCTAGGTTTCTTAACAATATAAACAAACTGGCATTTGCATCTCATTTTTTCTCTGTACACTTCTATTTTATCAGTAATCATATTTCTTTATCTAATGGTACTTTGCAAGTCTAATTTGAATTCGTTTTGGTGAAACTTTCGTATTTTAATTTCTACCAATTGTATGTCATTCCATGTGTCCTTTGCAGGCACTGCTTCATTCCTCCCATATGTATCATGAAGCAAAGCATTCATTCCCCAGTCATGGTGTAAAGTTTTCTTCGGTTGAGATTGATCTACCCGCCATGATGGCCCAAAAGGATAAAGCTGTGGGTAATTTGACTAAGGGTATTGAAGGCCTGTTCAAGAAAAACAAAGTAACCTACGTGAAGGGGTATGGCAAGTTCCTTTCCCCGACTGAAGTTTCCGTAGACACTTTAGATGGTGGTAGCACCACTGTGAAAGGAAAGAACATTATAGTAGCTACTGGTTCTGATGTCAAAGGTCTTCCTGGAATAACCATTGATGAAGAGAGAATTGTATCGTCTACAGGAGCTTTAGCCTTGAAAGAGATTCCTAAGAAACTTGTGGTAATAGGTGCTGGGTACATTGGCCTTGAGATGGGTTCTGTCTGGGGGCGCCTTGGCTCAGAAGTTACTGTTGTTGAATTTGCAGCAGACATTGTCCCGAGCATGGATGGCGAAATCCGTAAACAATTTCAGCGCACCCTTGAGAAGCAGAAGATGAAATTCATGCTCAAGACGAAGGTGGTCTCTGTTGACAGCACAGGAAATTCCGTGAAACTAACCCTTGAGCCAGCAAGTGGCGGTGATCAGACCACTCTTGAGGCTGATGTCGTCCTTGTTTCTGCTGGTAGAGTTCCATTCACTGCTGGACTTCAACTTGAGAAGTTAGGGGTTGAGATGGATAAGGGTGGCAGGATCTTGGTGAATGAGCGGTTTGCTACCAATGTACCGGGTGTATATGCCATAGGTGATGTCATTCCCGGGCCGATGCTGGCTCACAAAGCTGAAGAAGATGGTGTGGCGTGCGTTGAGTACATTGCTGGGAAGGAAGGTCATGTGGATTATGATATGGTTCCGGGGGTTGTCTACACACACCCTGAGGTGGCAAATGTGGGGAAAACCGAAGAACAGGTTAAATCGATGGGAGTTGATTACCGTGTTGGGAAGTTCCCTTTATTGGCAAACAGTAGAGCGAAGGCCATTGATGATGCAGAGGGATTGGTGAAGATACTCGCGGAGAAGGAGAGTGACAAGATTCTTGGAGTTCACATCATGGCGCCGAATGCCGGGGAGCTGATTCATGAGGCAGTTTTGGCGTTGCAATATGGAGCATCAAGTGAGGACATTGCGCGCACATGCCATGCTCATCCAACCATGAGTGAAGCTCTGAAAGAGGCTGCAATGGCTACCTACGACAAGCCCATTCACATCTGATGAGAGAGAAGGTCTTGTTGCTGGTTGCTCGATTTTTGGCTGAAAGTTATAGACAGGAGGACGACGGTGGGGAGCCATCAGCAGTGATGCTGAGGTACTTACTAGATAAGTTTGTTGTTTTTCACCACAGCATTTAATATTTATTATCCTTGTAATTCTGAACCTGAACCTGAACCTTTTTGACGAAGACGACATAAAAAGGGGGCGAATAATTTGCTTGCTTGCTTGCTTTTGCTTGAGCTGTGTAATGAAAGCCTTGATTGAAGGAACAAGATTCTTCACAATTTGTTTGTTTTGGTGATTCTTCAATTTGCTTTTGCTGCTGGAATAACAATAACAGTAATATTTTCTCAATTTGGCAGTGTACCCAGTATATGTTGCTTTCTTTCAATTCCATGTGCTGCAATTGCAAAACATGCACTTGCTTCTTCAGCTTACTCCCTTCAGACTCCATACCTGCTCTTCTTTCTTGATATGATATGAATATGGCGACTCTATATAAAGAAAAACCACTTAAGGGTAGGTACAAGATGTGAACACATTAGATTTCGACCCTTCCTCGCATACAAAAGTGATGTCATACTGGGTAATAATAATATCTGGTTGTGAGGCTAGGCTATGCTTACTGCAATGTCTGCTTGTGTGAGTCTAGTGATGGATCTTGTTGTTGGCCTTTTTGGTTTTCTTCTGCTTTTGCTTAAGCTGAGTGAGCCCTGCAGCAGAAACCTTTGAATTACCAATGATAGCAGCAACAAGCTCAGGGTCTGTTTGCGCCTTCATCAACTCTTTCTCTCTCGTTGTTGCCTCCGCCATGTGACTGAACAGGTTCATTGCCGTCTTTGCCGCTGCCATGAAAAATGTAATGCATTATTATTATTATTATTATACAAAATCTCTTAAACTTCATGCACGAACTGGATTCAGAAAGAGGAGAATGTCATCCATGAAAAGGAACAGCAATGAGCCACAATATATACCTTTCCCTTTCTTCAGTGAGCCGGGAATTATCTTGACGCGGTATTTGTATGATTGTACGGCGCTGTATGGACCACAGACAGGTACGGCGTACAATAGGACATCATTAGGCAGAGGATTTCCAGTCAAATAGTCGACATCGTTAAGTTTCTCTTTCTCTTCTTCCCCTATTTCATTAATGTCATCCTCGTCCATGGTCACCCTATCTGCTGCCTCACTCCCACCCCTCTCTACTTCAGCATCAGCTTTGCTCCTTAGAGTTTCATCTGGCTGTTCCGGACAATCTCGGGATGTGTGACCTGCCTTCTTGCATTTGTAACATATCTTTGAAGCGTTTGCAGGGGCTGCAAACAAAAGTAGAGATCATCTTTGTATCTCAATGCATTGCATCATCAAAGATATATATGCTTCAGTGTAAAACATTGATACGTACAATGTACAATCACCAAGAGTTACACAACACAAAAAACTGAAGACCGGAACAGGCAGAGTCAGAATATTGGCACACTGGGTGTGTCCTTTCATCAAATTTACTCGGATTTCTACTATTCACTATTCGCTCCAAAAACATGAATTCAAGCATATAATATTCATTTTTCTATATTATACTAAACATTAATTACATTCAAAATATCACATCAATACCTATTTATATCAACTATTCAAATCCCAACAAAAAATTCAGATCCCCAAACATGATGAATCAAAGTAGCTCGGAAGTGATGCAAGGAACTAACATCAGAAAAATATCAATCCCATGTAGTGAACATTAGTAGACAGGTAATGAATCAAAGATCCATAAAAACAATTCAACGAACACGACGAACAATTCTCCAGGCGTACATGGGCCAAGTGCATTCACTAGCTTCACGTGTGGACCACATCACAAAGTGAATGACATAAAATTAGGCTTATACAAATATTAATGTGGGTTTGGAAGAGGTCGGGGAATAGTACAATTTTTAATTGAGATAGTTTTTTAATATGATGTAAATAATTGTTCGATGGGATGTCTTAAATACAAAATAAAATTTTATATAGCATTTTAAATAAAGAATAGATATCTAATTTGATATTTTTTTTAGGGGGAAAAAATTATATATGTGAGCCTTGGCCAAAACTTACATCCAAATACAACCAACTGCTAATGAGTTTGGCATCCTTTTCAGCAGTGATCACATGTAGAGTACTAGAGCACATTAGTTTCATGTGTGATTACTATCCATTAATAAGACAACCAAAACAAGCAGTGCAGTTCCCATAAAAAAAAACAAAATAAATCAAGCAGGGTAGTTTCCACTTTCCACATAATCATTTAGGCAGAATGTGAACGAAAAACATATAAGTCGTGTTACCTGTATTATGATCAAAACTGCTATTGGCGGTGGGATTGGTTCCTTTTTCTGCAGCTGACTGTCCATTTTCAGACTTCTCATTGTTCTTCTTTGGTTTTCCGGAAGCCTGCAGAATAATTGGAATACAATAAATCTGTGATTTATGATGTACTGTATAGCAGAATAAATTCTTGGAACACATGAAACTATATATAGCAATCAAAAGCAGAATAATTCCTGCTCTTTTGAAAGAAACTGATCAACTGCAATCACTGCCATCAATAAATGTTAGAAAAGTGACATCTTCAATTATTTGCACTCGCACAAACACAGATGATAATTCGGCTCAATATTTAATTTGATGATTTAGATAGCAATACTTACAGCCAAAAGAGCCATTCTAATGCTGCGTTCCTCCTCATCCTGATCAGCATATTTTTCCTTTATCTTTTTCAATTTTCCTTTTTGTCCTCGGGTAGGTTTTCCATGACCTGGCTTTGAGTTTTTAACATGATTGTCACGCCCACTTGCAGATTCATTACTTTCTTCCTTCCCCTTTTCATGTTCGGCTGACAAATGGACAGCATCATCCTTTTGACCTTTCTTTAGCTTTCTTCTTTCAGCTTTTGAGATATAGGGTTTATCTCTTGGGGATTTTGTCATTTCCCGGTCATGCTCTTCAACTACATCTTCTTGAGAGGTATGCAGCACATAACTCTTGGCGAAAGCAGTAGAAGATCCCAGCTCAAGAGCTTTATCCATTAAATCCTCCAAATTAGGTGTAACAAAGGCCGAGGCTTCACCTGAAGAATCAGGTTGTTTACTTTTATCAGAAATATCTACTTTAGTAGTCACATCATCTGATGAATCATGCTTCATAATTGCCTCAGGAACATCCAAATCATTGGAGGCCATCGATGAGAAAGCATCCCCTGATGGTCTTTCTAGTGACATGTCCTTAAGGTTTGCTGAATCATCAAATGTGGTCTTTTCACCTGACAGTTCCTTCTCAGAATCAGAACCAGAATCGGAAATTTCTTTGAAAGGTTCATCTTGCTCAGTGTCATTTATTCCTTCCTCTTCTCCTCGTACCCTTCTTTCATTCAGATGAGATCCCAAGGAACTCTCATCCAATCGAAATAGAATTCCAAAACCCATAATGAGTGGGTGTGGAGGGAGAAAATTCTTTTTACCACGAATCATGAAGCTTCCTACTGTGAGATATTCACCTGTGGGAGCTGTTTTACTGACCTGATTAGGATACACCCACCAGGCACTTGTAACAATCTTTGAATCCCAAGCCTGGCTGTGGCAAACCTACATGACAAACATAAGTCAAGATTTTGCATATTCCAATTCTGAGAAAAAATTACCATGAATTAGAAAATATTGTCATTGTAACCCACTGTAAAGCATCCGGCTTGATTCAAAGTGAGAGGAGGTACGGGGTTATCAGGCTTGTGATTCTTTATTACAGTACTAGATGCACCATGGAGTTCTGCATGGACATACCTACAGTATAGTAAATTCAAGACATTATCTAACAGAAGTATTTCCTTCCCCAAGATCAGTAATTTATATGAATTCACAGACAGAATGAAAGAATAACAAATGTTTTTATTTTTTTTTTTATTTTTTATTTTTTTTTTTTATGACAAGAATAACTAATGTTTTAATTAAACAGAAAGTGTATAGGCTTTCAGCTAATCATAAACTATCGGCAACAAAAGAACTGTTAAATGCTAAAGAGCAGAAAATAATTTTGACGATGTGTGATTCATTCATTGCTCTTATTAAATGCAACCTAAAGCACTAGAACTACAAAATCAAGCTTCAATGACAAACCCAAAACAACTTAAATTACAGGAGTCATCGAGTTAAGGATTGAACTCTATCTAAAGACCTTGATGTGAAGAGAAAGTGATTCCAAGTAATTTAAGTAGGTGAGAGATCTCTTACAGGTCTCCTTTGGACATGTAACGTTTGACTATCATCTCATTTTGTTGAGCATCTCTCCCACTGATTACCAAATAGTTCTCGCTACTGATGAACCAATTGAATTTTTCAAACCAATGAACCTTGCGCATATGTGTAATTGTGGCAACAGTTTTTTCCTGCAGAGTAAGCACACTTAGAATTCTAAGCTATTATATAACAAGCATATATTAAATACTATAGAGTGATCTAAATCAAAATAAAATCTTCAACATTATATAATAAAACATTATAGCATAATATGATTACCAGATACAACAGCAAGAGGTTGCATGCATAACACAAACAACAATAAATTTCGCATGCATAGTTACCCAACTTCATTTGTTTCTTTATTAACCCTTAGCATACCGATAACAAGTGAGATAGTATGTTATTCATCAAGTCCATTTATTTTTTTCATCAAAATTTGATCATTACGTTCTTTTATTGTTCAATATACAATCATAATTTATATCCGTATTTCAAGAGACATAATAGTCAGGTTTTCCAATATATACAGTACAACATTTCTGAGTTCATACTAATCAACATCTTTCAGAGGAAAACAGGAGTCGAACTGTGAACCACATCATCCTGATAGATATTCAGCATACACACCATATCAAGTAAGCATTTTTTTTATCGGAATATTATAAGCATTTACAAATCACAAGTTACAAAGTTTGATAATAGATAGAATCATGAAACTATAACTGGAAAACTACCATAAATTGGAAAATGAAAGGAAAGTCAAAGTCACTCCTTAGATTGATTGTTGATGCAAGACCTTACAAACAAGCTTGATCATGCCAGGTATTCAGTTAATAATGATCATAAATCAAATGAGTGACTAAACAGAGAGACCAATTATTGGAATATTGCAATCAGTAACCAGTAAACTTGATACACATCATTGGAGCATCAAAGGGCCCAAGTAACAATGAAAATCTAGAATCAGTTACTAAAGAAAGGAAGCATAACATGTAACAACTTCATTAAAAACAAAATAACAGAGCCTTTAAGCCACAATATTTTCAGCTACCTGTGAAAGTTGCTGGCGAGTTTTCTTCTCGGCAGCTTTGAAAGCTTTCTCATGTGCCGTAATGGTCTTCTCCTGTTTGGTCTCTTGTTTCTTCTTCATCTCATAATATCGACGAGCATTTGCATGGGCAGAAAGGGCAAGATCAACTTCAACCTGGAAAAAGCATTTTAGACAAATAGTAGAGTAAACTTCTACATATTTTTTTATCATCTCATCAATCCCCATGTTGCGCAAAACAATGATAGAGGGTTTAGGGCTTAACCAATGCAAATGAAAAATTCCAACGCTGCAATGTAATGGTTATCTCTTTTTAAAAATCGAGGCTGTGCTTACTGTGCTTTTGTTATCAGTTAGGCACTATTCAATCAACAGTGCATTTTTATTTTTCCTTAAAGCATCATCACACAAAATACTTATTTTCTATACAAAATACTGCAGCTATATCACCCATTTTCTCCTAAAAAATTTTCAAAAATCAAAGCAACCCTAACACCGAAATACAAGTAATAACGCCCTAAAGAATGCTCGACTTATATTTTTAATACCGCATGCTGTTAAACGCAGGTCATGAAAACATTAGTTAATGATTCTAAGTTCATCAAATACCTTATCCACTGGTTGAGTTTTTTCATCATCATCCATTTCATCCAGATTGTTGCTCAATAAAAGTGTCATGCAATTTCTTTCTAGATGAAGCTTGTCAATGAGGCCAGCTACAGGGTTTCCAGATTTCTTCTCCTCTTTCACCATGCTAGCCAAATCTGACCAGCTCATACCATTTGCTAGAGCTACACGAACTGCTAAGATGGCAGCTTCTACATCTTCTAAGTTGTATTCTATCAATGTTGCCATTTTGACACACTGCTCAACTTCTCTCTTCAGTGCATGGACACGGTTTTCCTGAGGTGTCAAGACAGCTTTCAATACTAGAACTCTGATATTGAGATATTTGAGAAAAACCTATCAATTTCAAGAATATAGATAACATAACAGTCTTTCATCTCAAGCATCTATTAAGGTATTTCACATATTATACATACATGAAGAGGAACAGGAACACATACAATCTGCAATTTTTTTATAGACAGTAAAACATGTAGATACAACAAACCTGATCAAGTTTGATTTTATCAAGCTTCTGCATCGCAGTATTTTCTTTAGACTTTTGTTGCTGTTCTGAGCGTTGACTTTCGATCTTACTGTAGAATTCATCCAATGCTGCATCAAATAGCTCAAACTGCATAGCATCTCTAGACTTGAACTGGTTTAGCAACAGAGGGCAGAATTCATCGTAGATCTGCAAAAAAGTTAATAATTAATTGAAAGGCAACTGCACGAAGAATATATTTTCCACTTCTACTTAAAATGCTAAATGCCATAAAATAGAAGAAATAAAGACTACAGCATCAAAGATAACCTGCTCCGAAGTAACTTTTCCAGATATGAAATTATGATTTTTCCCTAAACTTTTCTGCTGCATCAAGATATACCCTTCCGGAATTTTTTCACCAGATATAACATCTGCTAACCAGTCCTCAAACCTTGTTATAGCTTCAAACAGCACCTGGGAGGTATTTTCATCCCATTTAAAGTCCTTACCAACCTTTGTATTTGGTATTAAACCAGCATCTAATATAATATGTTCTGACAATGCTGGTCCATAACCCAATGTTTCCCCAAGAACAACTTTCAGTGTTGCTTGCTTAGTCTTATTTTTCTGGCTTTCAAGCTTCCCATTGGGAATATTTGAACTATTGTTTCGAAGTTCAGAATTATTTAGATGGTCACTTCTATTACTGTCTACTAAAGATTCCAGAATTGTCAACATCTTTTCTCTAGTTGTACGCTCAAAAGCACGGGATTGTTCAACTGGATATCGATGTCTGGACATGATTGCTAATCCCTTGTTGTCATCCCTGTTAATATAGATAACTATTTTACTATTAGAATTACTAACATCCTTTTGGTACAAAATAAAGCCAATGTTTTGAAGCTGTTTACAGCTAGAGAAAAATAATGAAGTGGCTTAATGAGTTCAAATGGGATCATGAATAACAACATCCGAGACACTGACCTATGAGATCGAAGTAGAGTCAAGACTGTGAATTCAGAATCTGTAAGAAGAATATTTCCTTGGGCATACAGCTCCAAAATGACATAGTGGGTATTAACACCCAATCCAAATTGAAAGAGAATTATCTGTTTGCAACACAGAAGTCAAAGTTTCAGAAAATTTTTAATCATTGGCATTCTTTTTTCTAACAAGATGATGGAAAAGAGACATAGGGTACCCTATCATAGCCAAGTTGGCGCACATCCTCAAGCCTTCTTGTTCTTATATGTTTTCTTAATTTCAATGTAAAACCTGATGGGGTATTGCTTTTGTCCCTGTACAAGCAACAACATTATCATTCAGCATACACATAGATGTTCACCCCTGTCAAGTCCTTTTATCAATGCAAAATCTGAACAGCATCAAAGCCATATGTTCTAGAAGAGAGATTCAGAATGCCTAACATAAAATTATCTGGAAATTTGAAGGAGTGTGCCAGACAGATTAAACACCTCTTTCCCTGCTAGATGTCCCTAATATAAAACACCATTCCAGCTGCAGGCTCAATGGCTTCAAAGTTACACTTTTTCTTCATTTTATAGAACTAAATTACTAAAGCCTCTTATTTTCAAAGATCTTCGGGCAACATATTAGCTTCACATATGAATTTCAGTAACACTGAATTTTGTTAATCAATTAAGAATCTATTTCCATACTTCCCATAAGTTCTTTCAGAATCAAATAGAGTATGCATAGTTGCAACATAATTGCCATCAAACTTTCTGTCATTCAGATCAGAGCTCTTTGCATCTTTAGCATTCCTAATTGTCAATTTTAGCACATTACAATTATGAAAACAACCTGCTTGGCCTCACTTACATGTATGGTAACTCTATGTAAATTGTTTTCTATATTTCCCTTTTCCTTAAAATTCATCCCAGAATAAATGGCAAATGCATAAGGCATACAGAGAAGTGCAACAAGATTTTACCGCATATAGACTGTTGTATGCAACCTGACGCCACTTTCCATCAACAGCAAAACCTTCTCACTCTCCCCAGACTCGGTCACTCCGCTGCTACTCATCAGCTTAAACACGTACGTCTACAATATATTTTCCACCAACTCAATGCACAAACATAAATTCAAAAACACAGAAAAAAAGTTCAAAAAACAGAAAAAAAAAGGAACTAAATTTGCCCGGCGATTTAAAAGCTCTAAGGGGAAAAAGCAAACTCATTAGGTAGCTGAAAAAGCCTAACCAGTCTAGTATCGAAAAATTGGAAACACATTACTCAACTATTAGATTCTCCAATTCCTGGCATAAGTTTAAACACATGCCCTCAAGTTATTCCACTTACAATTACAAACAAAAGGAACCAAAACCTTAAACAAGAAATCGAGTGAGCATACATTAAAAAACACAAACTTTTACCTTTGGAGTAAGATCGTAAACATTAGAGCAACGCATCCCAATCAAACGACGGAGGCACTTGACCTCCGCCGCCACGTCAGCGGTGTTCATCCGCACCTTCACCATATTTCAGGGCGGATGGATCCTGCGTCTCTTCTGCTTCCAAACAGACACTGATATTCAATCCAGGAACACAGGTTGCCAAATCGATTCCTAACGGAAGCAATTGTAGGTAACTGCTACAAATAACAAGCCGGATTGGAACGCAATGCAGTTTGTTGATGGCAATAATGACTATGGAAGGAACCTCGGCTTGGGCTGAGTAGTCGTCTTCAATTGGAATTCATTGCGCCTAATAGTAAAATCAATGGATATACTTGGGCCAATTGGGGAGTATTATTACTTAGTCTGACAATAAATCTATTATTGTGTTGTTGCCAATTTGTCCGGCCCAGCCTTGGTAGGTAGTTTTAGAAGTTAACACAGATTATAACAAACGCATATACATCAATCTGCCACTTTTGTCTCATGTCTTATGTCTTATATAATAATTGAGATTTATTATATTTAGGATTTTAAATTCTTACCTATATTTGATTGGTAAAATTAAATCTAATTTATATTTCTCATATCCTCGTATGAGTTGAAAGATTTAGATTTTTATATTCTTAATAACACAATTGTCCTCTTATATATAGGTTCGCGTAAACTCGAGACCTGACCTATTTATTTGAAGTTGAATCCAATTATTTGGATATTGGGTTTGGGCCCGGGTCATGTTCCGGTTAATATATTAATAATATATCAACTACACATATGAAAAAATAATTTGTAAGAATATAATTATATTAAAAATATTTTGAGTTTAATTTATTATTATTTTATTATAACATTTTTTTTAATAAAATACATAAATTTTAATATATGTTGGGTCCGGTACATATGCAATTTTGTATTAAAATTTAAGAATTGCTAAAAAAAATGAATTTGTCGAATCCATCCGGTCTTACCGGGTATAGTTTCAGTCAAATCCGGTATAATCGGATCCAATTTGGATCTCAAATTTAACAATATATATTTGGGACGAATCTCAGTTCTAGCTTAATCAAGACCCATTGCCATTCTAAAAAATGAGATTTAAAAGTAAAAGGGTACTTCATTACAAAAAAAAAAAAAATAAATCATTCATTTGTAGAATCGTTGACCTCTCTCTCTATTTTATTTTTTTTAAATTTCATCATTTTAAATTTCATCATCTTTTTTTTAATCAAACATGAATTTCATGAGATTTTAAAATCCAAATATCATGTAATCTCATTAAATTCTTAAACCAAACCACCACTAAAAGTTACATAATTAATAAGAAATTAAAAAAAATATTTTAGTAAAAATGTTTAATAAAGTATAATATACATAATTAGGAATTAAGATAATTAATTAGTTTATTAAAATTTTAAAAATATAAATTAATAAATTTAAAATATTATCAAACGGTGTATTATTTTTTTTCTTTTTTTCAAAATGAGATAGTTGATGTAGGATGGACTCAAAATGGACATGAAAAAAATATGGGAAGGATGAGGTACTAATATTTATCCAAGGATATAGTCGTGGACATTGATACAAGATTAACGGAATATGGAGTAATAGAAAAGAAAACTAAGTTTTATTTTTCAATTCTTTTTCACCACAAAATTGTTACAATATATATAAATATATATAATGGATAAACAAAAATATCACTAATTTATCCAATATTCATTCAATCATATATTATTATATAATTTATTATTCAGTAAATCAAAATATATACAAAATTTTATTATATAATCACCAAATTAATATAAGATTATTCTTCATGAATATCACAATTAAATTTTAACACCCTCCCTTAATTATGATATTATGCCGAAATCATCCCAAGCATTTTCCATTTTAAGATTATTCCATTTTAAGTTTTAACTTCACAAATGATTGGTACTTCAATGGCTTTGTAAAACCTCAATTCAATCTTCCTTTCATTCACGGTTTCCCTCAAGAAATGGTAACGAATTACTATGTGTTTGCTTCTCTCATGCGCTATAGGATTCTTGGCTAAATTAATTGCCGAAACATTATCGACTTGCAACTGTATAGAACCTTCAACCGGAATGCCAATTTAATACAACACATTTTTCAACCAAATAGCCTGATAAGTACTCGTGAACGCAACAACATATTTAACTTCACAAGTTGATAGTGTCACAAAAAATTACTTTTTCAAAAACCAGGAAATAACAGTAGAACCATAAAAAAAAAAAAAAAAAAAAAACAATTTCAGGAAGTACTATTTCAATCCTCAAGACCTCCTCCTCAATCGCTCAAAATCCTTTTAGCAAGTTGAAGATGCGATTGGCGTAAAGATTCCATGAACCTGCTAATTAGCCCAACACCATTATATCCAGCCTCGAACATGTGAGATATCGTAAGCTTTCAATAATTTGCTTGAAATATGTCAGATCGACGACAGACTCATCTTTACTTATCATCAACCTCGTGCCAACCTCCATTGAAGTTCGTAAAATATTGCAATATTGCATGTTAAACCTTTTTAATATTTCAGAAAGGTATTTCTGTTGTGCAACAAAGAACCCACAATTTCTTTGGGTAATTTAGATTATAAGAAAGTATGGCATCAAACCCATGGTCATATCAAACTCGCGTTTCATGGATAATTTAAAATCCTCAATCATGTGAGGATTGTTCCCTGCAAAAATTAGATCGTCGACATATATACACAATACCAACTTATCGCCAGTAGGAGTGACTATGACATAAAGAACATGTTCACTTGGACATCTTTGAAATCCAATTTGGAGAAGAATGAATCAATCCGCATATTCCATGCTCGCGGGGCTTGTTTGAATTCACGCAAGGGCTTCTTCAATTTATACACCTTGTGCTTACTTCCATGTGATTGAAATCCGGGAGGCTTATTCACATAAATCTCCTCTTGAAGTGGGCCGTGCGAAAATGCGGCTTTTACACATTTGATGTATATTCTAACAATTTTGCGCAGCTGAGACTATCAACAACCTTATCGTCTTCATTCGAGCTACAAGCGCAAATATTTTTTGAAAGTTGAATCCGGGTCTTTCTTCATAGCCTTTCGCCACAAGCCTCGCTTTATACATTTCTACTTCGCCATTTGCCTTCAACTTTCTTTAAAAAACTCATTTGACATCAATGGGTTTGCAATCATATGGAGCATCCACAAGCTTCCAAGTACGAATTTTCTCAATGGAATTCAATTCTTCATCCGTAGCTTTTACCCATTTTGTATTTTTCATCGTCAACTGTGGCAGGTTCACAATCTGTATACATAGCCATATGCACAATTTCTCCATCATTAGAAATGACATCATTAGAAATTACCTTATAGTCACGTAGTGTGGTTGGAAGTTGTCGTTGACGCCTTGGCCTTTCATCGAAAGTATTGACTTGTGTTGGTCTTTCATTGGAAATATTGACTTATGTAGCTTCTTCAGTAATACTATGAATTCTACCTTGAAAAGCACATTCAAATAATTCAACAGACCGATTTTGAGTGACTTGAGGCAAATTCCATCTCCATGTTTCATCCTCCACAAAAATGGAATCTTTACTGATGATGACTTTATTTATTGTTGGATTAAAAATTTTGTATCCACCATGCGTATAACCCACAAAGATGACATTTTCTCCACGGTCATCAAGCTTTGTTCGAGTGGCCGCAGGAATGTATACGTAGACCACGTAACCAAATACTCTCAAATGTTGAACTTTACGTTTGATTCCGGACCATGCTTCCACTGGAGTCAAGTCACAAATAACTTTCGTTGGAGGCCGATTCAGCAAATACACTGAACAAGCGACAACTTCTCCCCAAAAAGAATTTTGGCAACCCTTTGGCTTTCAACATGCTCCTTGACATATCCAAGATGGTTTTATTCTTCCACTCCGCAACTCCATTATGATGAGGAGTGTAAGATGGAGTTATTTGACTCTCGATTCCATGATCCTCTGGGAGAACTCTTGAAGTTGGAAGAAATATATTCACCGCCACCATCTGTTCGCAACATTTTTATAGAAAAGCTACTTTGTTTCTTTTATACATGAGCTTTAAATTTCATAAAGGCTGTGAACACTGCAGATTTCTTACGTAGCAAATAAATCCAAATATTTCAAGAAAAATCGTCAATAAATGTCAAGAAGTACCTGTTATTGTCATGAGATTCAACACTCATCGGGCCACAAACATCGGAGTGAACAAGGCCCAGTATGTGATTCGCTCGCCAATTACTTTTAGCTTTGAATGGTTGCCTACTTTGCTTTCCTAAAATGCATGCTTCACACACTTGATTAGGGTGATTGATCTTTGGGAAGCCTTTCACTATAGTCCTTTGTGCAAGCATTTTCAAGCTTTAAAAATTCAAGTAACCAAAGCGAAGATGTCATAAGACTCATCTTTAACCATTGCATTAAGACATGTATACACATCACCAAAAATATCAACATGAAACATACGATTCTTTGTTAAAGTAGTCTTCAAAATAAGTGTACCTTTAATGTCAAGAATCGACAAATCACACCCTGTAGAGTGCATTTCATATCATTTCTCCAACAATTGACTCATGCTTATGAGATTAGTTTTCATAGCAGACAGATAGAAGACGTCCGATATGAAACTGTGATCTCCTTTCCTTAGCTTAATAAGGATACATCTTTTTCTCATAACCGGCATTGTGCTATCATTGACAAATTTAACTTGGGATCGGACAGATTCGTCAAGTTCAACAAAAAGCTCGCGTGTACCGCACATGTGATTTGTACACCCGGTATCTAGAAACCATGTATGAGAGTTTGACACTTCATTTGTGGAATTAACCATCAAAAGAGCATGGCCATGATCATCTTGATTGTCATCTTCTTGTGCATAATGCGTCTTTTGGTCAATTCCTTTGTATATGCATTCATTAGAATAATGACTAAATTTATGACAAGTATAACACTCAACATTTGACTTGTCAAACCTTCATTTGTTCCGACCACGCCCTCGACCACGATCTTTGTAATTTTGACCTCTTTGATGGCTTTGATTGAAATGATCAAAATTATTCCATACTGCCCCAACTTTTCCGTGTCGGTATTGTATGTTATGGCGACCACCACGACCACGTTCTCTTCCATGTGAATTGTCACGACTTGTAGCTTCATCGTTTTGTTTGGTATTAAGCGACACCGAACCTTAGAAGGCTTTCTCAATTGGCTTCTCCATTTTTTTTTTTCATTCATACGCTACTCATGGGCTTA